GGAATGGACCTGTTCAAAAACCTGGTTACTCATCTGGAAAACGTAGGTAAGAATGGGATATAGCATCCCAAAGAAGTCTGGCAGTGCCCATCCCTATAGATGCACCATCTTTGCAAGTATAGTTTGGGTAGGGTTTGGTTAGCTGGGAATGGACCTGCTCTAAAACTGTCACCTGGTCACTCATCTGGAAAACGTAGATCAGACCTAGCATCTGAAGCAAGTCTGTTCTGTGGAAGTGTTCATCCCTAGACATGGTGTGTGGTCTTATTCTTATTCTCTGTTCATTTTAAAAATTCCGATTGAAGGACCTTTCTGTGTTTAAATGATGCCTCGTAATGCTGTATACCACCTCTAAATCAAAAATTTCTGAAATACTAGTACCAGTTAAAACTATATTTATGCTGATTTTTCTTTAAAAAACATTTACAGTACATCATTTTATTAAGGAATAACTGTCTAGTTAGTATAGTATGCCAGGGCATCAACAATTAATAGTGGGAAACATGGGATAATTTTCATAACGGGCGAATTCCGTTATGCATAAATTATCCCAAGTTTTCCACTATCGTTGATGTCCCTGGCATACTATACTAACTAGACAGTGATTCCTTATATTTCCATTTCATTGTGAAATAAAATTTTAGAGTTAGACTCTAAAAATGCAGACATAGATTTAAATTACACGAGGATTCCCATCCAAATTTCAATTGTCCTCGCCCACTGATGTCAAACACAACGACAGCCGCACGAGATTTGCATGCATATTAGGCCTCCTTAGCTTCCGACCAATTGACCTGCCCAATTTACATTGCGGTAGAAATATCAAGAAATTAACTCCGCTAACTCTCAAAGAGTTATCACAGAGAGAAAAATTAGAAATGGAAATATTATCTGGTCAACACTCCTGGTAATGTATATTGATCTTTTGTGCAAGAACCTCTTATAGTACGACATGTATTACCTGGTATTCAAAATTGAGAATACTTTACAATATTTCCATTTCTAATTTTTCTCTCTGTGATAACTCTTAGAGATTTAGTGGAGTTAATTTCTTGATAATTCTACCGGAGTGTAAATAAGGCTGGTCAATAGGTCTCTGAGTCTGACGTTAAGGAGACCAAATATGCGTGAAAATCTCGTGCGGCTGCCGTTGTGTTTGATGTCAGTGGGCGAGGACTGTTGAAATTGGGATGGGGATCCTCCTGTAGTTTAAATCTATGTCTGCATTTTTAAAGTCTAAATCTAAAATTTTATTTCACAAATAAATGGAAATATAAGGAATCACTGTCTAGTTAGTATAGTATGTCAGGGACATCAACAATGCCCTGGCATACCGTACTAACTAGACAGTGATTCCTTAAATATTTTAGAAAATTATCAGTAGAAATGGTACGTTGTGGAGTGTGTATATACTAAGTATGTACGTTGCATAATTGTGTCCTTAACTAACCCAAAAACTAGTACATGTATAAATTTTGAATTTCCCGATCTATTTTTAGATCAAAGAGAAAATCTCTCTTTTTATTCAGCTTACGGGTCACGTGTGGGTAAATATAACAGTATTTTTTTAATTTGTTGGATCTCAGCCAATCAGAAAATAAGAATAATTCGATCAAATAATAAAATTATTTATTATAAAGAACACCTGCCATGTATCAAAGGATAAATACTATCTGTGAAAACTATAGCCTAATTAAAACTCTCATTTAAAGATATTTAAGTCTATTGAAACTTTGATCCTGAGAAAGGCATACAATATTTAAATGTCAAAAAATTTGTATGATAAAAATTGGGTCTGCAATTGCAATATATATACTTAGTAGGACGATATTCAAGTCCAACTTCTGGAATTTTTCCAGTGCTCTAGCTTACATCAACAAAAAGCGGGTAGGGACAACCAATATATCTAAGGGAAAATTTATCTTTATCTGAAGACAATTAATAGTCATCTTCCCCGCTGAACGGACTTGGTATGGTGGGACATGTATAACACCCCCCCCCCCCACCCTAAATCCACACACTGAAAAAAAACTGAATTTAAAGAACTTTAAAATACAACAATGAGTCTTTGCCATACAAGAAGCCCGTACTTCCTTAGTACTCAAACATTAGTACCGCATAAAAAGCACTGATTTGGAAAAGAAACCCTAATCTTTTATATGCACTACGTGAAATTGTCTAGCATTTGGATTAACTAACATATTTGACCCCTTGGATTTGGAATTCGACTCAATTTTGCAAGAATTTCCCACACCTTAACGCCAATTATAACTTCTGAACAGTTGGTACTAGTCTTTAATACTCCATATGTATATTCTTTGAGGCAAGACATTTCCAAAGATATATTTTTTACCTTGACCTATGACCAACTTTTTATGTCCAGCTGGAATGTTTTTGTTCTGTCTGTCTGTTTGTCTCTCTGTTGTCAACTTTAACCTAGCCCATAACTACTGGGTGAGTGCGGCTATAGCTTTCATATTCACAGGATGAAATCTATCCATTTAGTGAACAGAATGATAATTGAATGGCAGCTGATTGACTACAGAATGGTAACTTACACGGTAGTTTTCAGCTGACATTCATTTGTCATTAAGTCAACTGAATGGCACATACATTTCAGTGACCTTTCAGTTGTCATTCGATGACAATTCCATCATATTTCAGTGACCTTTCAGTTATTATTCAGTGAGCATTCCGTAATATTTCAGTGACAATTCCATTACATTTCAGTGACCTTTCAGTTATTATTCAGTGACCATTCTGTCATATTTCAGTGACCTTTCGGTTGTTATTCAGTGACCATTCCATCCTATTTCAGTGACTATTCCGACATATTTCAATTATTATTAAGTGACCATTCCATCTTATTTCGGTGACCTTTCAGTTATTATTCAGTGGCCATTCTGTTATTCAGTAACCATTCTGCCATATTTCAGTGACCTTTCAGTTATCATTCTGTAACCATTCTGCCATATTTCAGTGACCTTTCAGTTATCATTCAGTGTCCATTTGCCATATTTCAGTGACCTCTCAGTTATCATTCTGTGACCATTCCACCAGATTTCAGTTATCATTCTGTAAACATTCTGCCATATTTCATTGACCTTCCAATTATTATTCAGTGACAATTCAGTAATAATTCAGTGACCATTTTGTCTTGTTTCAGTGAGACAATGACTATTTATTTACATTTCAGTGGCCATTATGTCACTTTTCAACAACCTTTCTTTTTTATGACCCTCTAGTCTTATTTCAGTAACCATACCATCTTAATTAATTGACTCTTCAGCATTCTTAAGTAACAATAAAATTAGCTTTCAATTCCAATTCTCAGAGAATGCATAATAATTTCTATTACTGACCATTCAATATCAATGAACTTTCAACAACACATATTGCATGGAAAATTCTTCCTGTTCCTCATGTGAGACTTTTTATTAATTATTCATAAATGTTACAGAACCTCATATTGATACACATTCGTAATATTTATTTTGCATGTATTTGCTTGGAAGTCTATACAAAGATATAATTATAAATCATCACATCTCTAGGATATGTATAGTTCATTTATCAAAAAAAAAAAAAAAAAAAAAAAAAAAAAAAAAAAAAACTGTCACTTAATTCAAATATACAGTATGGCTTAAAAACTAGGCCTTCAACAAATTAAAATTGAAATCACATGTACAAACAAGGTTTCATAAACAATATCATATCTGGAATTACAAATTCTTAAACAAAACTACATTGATTATAAAAAAAATCACATTAATCAATGTTAAATAACAATTTATTACAAAACAATCACACATACAACTGTAAATGACTGCATCAGTAGAATTAAAAATATTTTAAAAGGAACAACTGTATTATCCTTAATCATGTAAGGCTTAGAATAATAATATGTCTTTGCTTTCAGCAATGTTCAGGCATTGATGAATAAGGGTAGGTAAGGATGCATTTATTCTGGACTTCTTTTTTGCACTTCTTAATGCAAAAAAGTAACCAAAAAATCAGTTATGTAAAAAATATAGAATAAGATCAGGATTGGCACTTTAAATTAGGATCAGAAAGGCAGTCAAAATAAGGATGCATATTTTTTTCTACGTCTGAAGTTAACCACAATTTGACAAATTTTGGGCCAAAATTTTCAATAAGATGAATATAACTTAATCACACAAACATAAATACATGTATTAGCTACTATTAAAATCACAATGACAATACACTCATTCGGAAATAGAAATAATAATTTAAAAAAATAAATGGAGATAAATTTTTCATAAATAATCTATGATAAATAAATATGGCAAGAAATAAGACAAAGAAAATCAATCCCCCTCAGGTACTAGGCTAATAAAATTATTTCAAGAAAATAGTAATAAAGTGAATATAAATTAATAGATATAGGCAGTGAGAAATTCCTTGGCTAATGCATTTCTCAAACAAATGAAATTCATTCTCCTCTATTTTATTTAAACAAATGTTCACTTACAAATTTTCTTATATTAAGCATTTGCTCCTCTTTTAAAAAAACATTTAATCTGTATTCAAAGGGGGATAGAACTTTTAATATTTTAAACGTTTTACAAATTTAACCTTTTACTTAAATGTTAAATGCATTATCAATAGATCCCATGACGTATAAGTAATATTTACTCAGTGTAATTAAAGTTTCACATTGTCAATCCCTCTCTTCCTCACTCCTCACAAATTGGAGCAGTTTTCTGGTAAAGGTCTCTTTGATACCGGAATCTACAAGACCACACACTTCTTCATCCGCCTCTTGTGTTAAGGTGTTAGCTTTTTCACTTGAGCTTTCTCAATGTTGTCCTTGAAGGCACTGAATGAGGCACGGGTAGACGTCTCACAATGAAGTGCTTTCTCAGACTCCTCAGATGAAAAGAACTCTGCAGTCATCACTTTCAGTTTTTTTTTCATTTTACATGCCCTACAAGGCCTTATCCTTTAGGGATTTCACCGTCTGTTTGAGTCTTGTATCTTGATCTCTGTAAAATGAAAACAAGGATATGTACTACTCTAAATGGCTTTACCACCCAAAATGTTACACTGAAAACTAATGATAAAAAAGAAATCAAAACTGTAGATCTTCTGGTTTGAATTAATAAAGGAAGAGAACCAGAAGTCTCTGTCGAGACTATAGCTCTACTGGTTTGTAATTGCAACAAAGGAAGAGAAAAGCCATTGCCATCAGACCAAATCTGTAGGATGAGTAGCTTTTTTAAAGGAATATAACAGAAAATTCTATTTTTAGTAACCATGGTAAAACCGTTCAATGAAACCAAAAACTGATGCACTAAATTATGTGTCATAATGTAGTCTAATTGTCTGACAAATTTTATGAAAATCAGATCAAAACTGTAGTGGGAGTAGCATTTTGAATAAATTTCACAGAAATTTCTATTTTTAGTAACCATGGCAACGTCCATTCATTAAAATCTAAAACCAATGCACTAAATTATGTATCTCAGTGTAGTCTACTTCTGTGCCTATTTATATTGAGGTCATACCAAATGTGTAGAACAGTAGCATTTTAAAGGAATTTCATAGAAATTTCTATCTAAAGTTACCTTGGCAACACCATTCATAGATATCATAAACTGATGCATTTTATATGTTATAGTGTAGTCTACTTGTTTGCCAAGTTATATTGAAATCAGACCAAATATGTAGGAGGAGTGGCATTTTAAAGGTCAATTTCACAGAAATTTGTATTTTTAGTAACCTGGAGTTACCATGGCAACACTGTTCATCGAAATCAAAAACTGATGAACTAAATTAGGGTAGTCTGCTTGTGTGCCAAGTTATACAGTGTATTGAAATTACCGTATATACTCTAAACTGTTAGGATTTAATAAGGAGTATCAGAGGGTGACCTCATATAATTGAAAAATTGTTTAAAGCAGACAGACTAAAACTGTAGGAGGAGTAGTGTATTGAAAAATTGTTTAAAGCAGACGACGGACACTGTACTACCCCATAAGCTCTTTTGGTCTCTGACCAGTAGAGCTAAAAATAAGCTGTTGGACTTGAAATACTAAAACAGCATAATTAATTTAATAAAACAAGAAATACTAAAACATCAATAAATAAAACAATGATCCTTGATTTCGTTTCTTTTTGTGTTAAGATTGAAATTATACTAAAAATTTGGAGGAAAAGAATTCTAATCAACTTTCCAAAATTTCTAATTTGATTAAGGGGGCCGATTTTCAATAATGGTTTCAATTGCACAATATTTCGCGCATCAGAGTAAAATGAAGTGTATTAAAATTCACTTTTTAAAGCAACTTTTTTCACTTAATAATAAAAAATAAACAAAATTAAGAAAATTTAGGTATGAAAATATAATTACATATTTATTTAACTGATTTTTTTAAAACCAATTTTGCAATTGATAGGTAGGTTGACGTTGTTACGGTGTGATTTTGACGTTATGATAAACTGAAGCTCTTAAAGATGGGGTTAATAAAAATGTTATTAAAGAAACAGTAATAAACATACCCTCTTGAAATTTAAAACATAGAAATTTGAGAATATCTCAATCCTTTTTGTAATGTTTTCATATGAATCCTTTATTTTATTATAATTCCATTATATGAACCCATATTTTGTAGTACTTTATAAAAACAGGAAAACTCGTTAATTTTTGGCATTTGGAGATTCCCCCTCTGGTAACAAGATGGTAGAATTTTGTGTTTCTTAAATATATTGTATAATATAGTATAACTAGGTCTAATCAAATATTAAAGTTTTAACAAAAAGTCTATTGTAGTATTTGTATAATTTGCTTTATAGTGCTGAAAATTGGCATTTTCCTACATAATCCTATTAAAGGTGCCTGTATTTTGAGATGGTCCCTCAAAAATACCTGGACGGTAGATTTTCCCCAAGCTTTGCATGTACACTGAACTTAATGCAAGTTATATATGGTATAAAAATGAAGATCGAGTTTCGCTATTGTAGTTTTTGCACAATAAAATCACAGTCGGTCCCCTTAAGTTACCTTTAACAATCCAACCCCTCAGGGTTGCAATAAATTTGTTCCTCTTGAAAAGACGAGAAACTTTTTAGTACACTCTAATGTTACTTGGTTGATTTTTGCCAACTTTTCAGAGTTTTTTTTTTATCAAAGATTTTGTAGGAATCTTTCACAATCATTAAAGCATCTAGTTATTGTTATATTCCTGTAAACCTGCATTCATAGTACAACTTTTCATAAATTTTATAATTATACATGTACACTAAAAATCAAGATACTTTTCATGTTTAGCAATGTGTATCTTAAATTGGTGAAACATTAACTCAGTCAAGTAAATAATATCTTGCGTTCATTTTCAATAATGAATATTATATCATACATATTAATGGACTATATTTGTGGAGAAGACAATGATGATGAGACAATCAATAATAAATAGAATTTGAAGGTATCAAATTTGTAATTTTAAATTTTTAATATTCATGTTAAATGATGAAAACACAATAAATCTTACTTTGCAAGACTTTGATACTCTTCTGTGGGCCTGCGATTCATCCCTCCTTTTTTGTGTGACTGTAATTTTTTAGTTCTTATGCAGTTGCTTCAGAATTGCTGGGGATGAAGTCTGCTGACTGTCTGAAGTAAATTGGAATGATATCAGTGTCCCTATCTACATATATATAGTGTTTTAAATTCTGTCAAACTATGTATTTTACCTGACTGTGAATTCAGTCAAAGAGAATGAGTGGATATCTGGTAGGGTAACTACCGTAATTCGGTTTAAAAAAGACCTGCATCGCTTATATACTTGCTTTTTTTTAAACAAGAGGCCAATAGGCCACATCGCACACCTTAGCTTTGTTGTTCTTGAGAAGAAGATTTTCCTATACATGATAATTATACATCTTTGTAAAACCTTGATCGCTCAGTGTGGCCCCATCCTACCCCCGATGGTCATGATTTGAACAAACTTGAATCTACATGTGCACTACCTCAGGTCAACAGTGATGATTATTACTCTTTAGGCCCAAAATAAAAATAATCTTGTTTCCTGCTACCAAACCTACCCTATTTTATGGCACCCTACCGTGAAGTTTTATTTACTTTTTTTTGGGGGGGGGATTGGAAATTTCATGATCCAAAAGTAAAAAAAAAATACATATTCAAGTGGTATTTCATAAAATTTAAGTTTTAAATATGGGATTTCATAAAACACTACTTAATTTCAAATAAAAATATTGACCTATGACATGTTTAATTTGGTTTTATAATAGTTCATATCCAACACATACCATTGGAAAAAATAAATAATTTTCCTACCTACCCTATTTTTTTTCAGGCAGTATAGCAGGTAACAAGATTATTATTTATTTTGGCTTTATGTTTAAAGTGATTGTTGAGTAGGTTGACATATTTTATAATAATTTCTTTCTTAGAAGTATTTTATATCTGAAACAAGAGGCTCATAGGCCTTATAGGTCACCTGAGCATCATGTAACAAATTACCAACATTTGAAGTTGGTTCATGTTTTAAACCAGAGGCCATGACATTCACAGTTCTGAAAGGGCACCAGAGTGCTCATGCAATAACTGGTATATATATATATTAGCATGCTTAGTTCAGTCACTTAATACCTATAGGCAGAGTAGGGGAACCAAAAAAATGCATTTTAACTGTTAATTCAGTAATATTCTGCAATATAAATAACATATGTAGTATTGACCCACCCCACAGGAATCCCTGACCCTGGGTCCACACATTTCACAATTTTAGAAAAGGCACCATATTGCTCATATATATAAGTGTTTAATTGATACCATGGAGCAGATTTCAAAGCATTAATTGATATTTTCAGTACATAATTAGAGCCCGGCCTTCCACTCTACAGTACCCCTACCCCAGGGACCTGGCATTTCACGAATAAATGGAAAGACTGTTACTCATCATAGTTTAATATATATATATATGGGTAGTTCAGACATCTGCTTAATATATGTACCCAGCAGCAGAGAAAATGTTTGAAGAATTAATGCATTTTCACTGTATAATCAATAAAGGCCCACCTTGTCACCAGAACGCCTGACCCTGGGGCCATGAAATCCACAAAAATCCAAAAAAGCCAAAATAAAAAATACTCTGGACCTACCCTACATTTTACCCTCCGACCCTAAAAGTTTTTATATTCCTAAAATGAAAAAAATGCCAGCTTGTTTGCTTAAAACCAAGGACCTTACTTTTTGATTTTTTGAGATGTTAATGCATTTTCTATATTATCACATGATATACATCTTTTTAAAACAAAATAATTTTTTTGGGGGGGGTCAGGAAGGGATGGTCATGATTTGAACAAATTTTTTTATGAATCTACATCTTTGACCTCTTTAGGCCAAAAGTAAAAAAAAAATAATCTTGTATATTTCATACCAAATATGTAAATTTTAAATATGAAGTTTTCATACTTTTTTGGGGGGTGTAATTAATTTGATCCAAATAAAAATACAATTTTGACCTATTTCATGAAATTTAAGTTTTAGCAAATATGATTCATTCCAAAAACCAAACGGGAAATTTCAAATTTTGTTAATTTGTATCAAAAATATAAATTTTTATCCATAAGTTTAATTTGGTTTTATGACCTAGTTCATAGGTCCAACACAGACTATTATCTTAATATATAATTTAAAATGTTGTAAATATTGTTGACAGATTACAGTTGACATATTTAAACAAGGTGATTTATTACCGTATAATATGGCCTATAATTTAAAGTGATTAATTTCTGGTCCTTAAAGGTCTTTGTGAGCTTCGTTGATAATTGTTGACAAAATAAAGGAAATTTTGTAACAAATTACCAGCATTTGAAAATGTAAATTATATGAGGTCAGTCCTATGACATTTAACTTTATTCATAATCAACCATGACCATGACCTTAGGCGGGCTTATAGGCAGAGTGCTCATATCAATTTGGTATATATACACTTAGCATGCTTAGTTCATGTATTTTTCACTTAATACCTATAGGCAGAGTAGGGGAACCAAAAAATTCATTTTAACTTTTAATTCAGTAATATTCTGCAATATAAATAACATATGTATTTTATTGGGATACAGGAATCCCTGCCCTGGGTCCAATATTTCACAATTTGTAGAAAAGGCACCATATTGCAACAATATAAATATATAGTGTTTAATTGATACCAGTGGAGCAGATTTCAAAGCATTAATTGAGCAGCAGTACACTACAGAATTAAAGATTTCAATGAATTTATGCATTTAAAACTTCATAATCAACCATGACCAAGTCTTACCCCAGGGACCATGAAATTCATCAATATAAATGGAAAGACTGTTACTCATCATAGCTATATATATATATTTCAGACATAATGCTTATATATGTACCCAGCAGCAGAGAAAATGTTCAAATTAATTAATGCATTTTCACTGTATATAATCAATAAAGAGCCCAACCCTATAGTCATTAACTCCCTGACCCTGGGGCAATTAATGAAATTTCACAATTCATGTAAGCGCTTAGGGCACCCTTCCAATGAAAATGTATGCAGCCAATATAGTTTGCTTAAAACCAGGAAAAGACATTTTTCACTAGAGATTTAATGTCAGTAAAACTTGGTTATAACTAGAACTGTCACAGTTTGACCTAATTATACCATAAAGGAATTGTGTAAATTTATAAAGTTTTTGGATTATAAAGATAACTTCGCTTTTCCGTAACAAGATTCACTATATCCGTGATTAAAATTGATTTCTTAGTTTTACTGTATACATTTTAATCAATAGAGCCCCAACATAACACCAGAACGCCTGACCCTGGGGCAATAAAATCCACAATTTTAAAAGATCGAGGCACGTACCCTTCCTAATCATAACAATGTATGAAGTTCAGTGAGTTTGTTTAATACCTAAGCAGCAGAGAAGAAGATTTTCAAAAATCAAATTTTTTCACTATTTAATCGATAAAGCCCCACCCTACACATATATGCATGTAACATCAGAACCCTTGAACCTGGGCCATCATCAGAAATTCACAATTTATAAGATACCCTTTCTCATCATAACTATGTAACTATGTAGTTAAATTGTTTAGTACCCATGCAGCATCAGAGAAGAAGATTTTCAAATAATTAATGCATTGTCACTTTATAATCTATATAGCCCCACCATAGCACTAGAATCCCTATGCCTAGGGCCATGAATTTCACAATTTTATTAGAGGACTCAATGCTTATTACAGTCATGCCATCAGTTTGTTTGAATTCTGGAGTAAAGAAGAAGATTTTTAAGATTGCATTAATTTTAGTGGTTTTGAACCCACTCCATCCCTCAGGTCCCAGGGGGGCAGCTGCAGGGACCATGAAATTCACAATTTTTGTTTCCCTTCACCCATAATACTAAGATGCTTAGTGCCAAAATTGCTGAAACTGGTTGAACGTTTGCAGAGAAGAAGCTGAAAATGTTCATATGACATCTATGCATCAAAAGCAATAACATGTATCCTGCCAGGTACATGTAATATGCATCCTTAGATGTATCATCCATGCAAGTTTGGTCACTGTTGGGTCATAGTTACTTGGAAATGAAACCTGGACCAAACACATTAACCTGTTTTCTCATCATGATCCGGCAAACGTAGGTCAGATTCAGCATCCGAGGCAAGCCTGGTAGAGTGCATCCTAAGATGGTACATACATTGTCCATGCAAGTTAACTGTTTGGTTAACACTGGGCTTATAGTAAATTACTTTGAAAAGAGATCTACAGTTGCAGAGAAGAAGCTGAAAATGTTTAAATGATATTATTATACCTCTATTGGTAATACTCGAATTTGATTGGCAGGTAAGAAAACTTTAAAACACAACAATGACTCCAAATGGTACTGTTTAAAGCAATTCTGAAGGAATCATTGCACTGGGATATAATGAAGTCATTATTTTTAATGACCGCTAAAAATGACCAGCTTAATCAAAAAATCGTTTTTGCAGTGAAGTTTTGCATAAGATAAAGTTATAATCGAAAAAAACAACATGTTTTTAAAATTGTGCATGGTCCGTTTTGCATTACCACCCAATAAGACTATGTAAAATTTTATCGTTTCAATATTTGTTACTATAATTCAGTTCATGTATTCCAAATATGTAGAGGCGGCTCTATTTTATTGCAGATTTTCAATTAATTAATTTGTCACATAAGTTTCAGTTTTTTACTAATTGTAGAGGAAAATTTTTCATATATATTAGTATATAACAATGTATGTCGCTATGAACCAAATATTGTTTTAATAATAAATCAGGATGCTTCCACATAACTTACACGACTTCCCTAGTGGTCATGTAAACAATTTTAAAGACTATATATTTGTTTGATTTCTGGAGTAAAGAAGAAGATTTTAAAGATTGCATTAATTTTAGTGGTTTTGAAACCCCATTGATATATTTAACGGTTAGGATTCATACTTTTCAATATATATTCAAACAATTTATAATAAAACAATTCACCCATAGATGCTACCCATAAATTGTGAAACTGGTTGGCCCAGTGGTTTGCAGAGAAGAATGAAAATGTTCTATGACATCTGATTCCCCATCTGTGAAAAGCAATAACATGTATCCTGATTTAAAAATTTACATGCAGTATATCCTTAGATGCTTCACATGCAAGTTTTCACTGTTGGCCCAGTGGTTCTTGAGAAGAAATTTTAAAGATTTGTTCTATACTTTTTAATATATATGGTATAATAAAACAATTAATTAATGTAGGTCAGTTCAACATTGAGGCAAGCCTGGAAGTGCCCAATCGATGTACATACATTGTCCATGCCGCTAAGTGGGCTTATAGTAAATTCTTTGAAAAGAGATCTTATTTCACCATGTTGACCTCAGAAGGGGTAATTAATTGTTATTATTTTATAAAACACATGACGGATGACGACAGACAAAAACAGATAACAATAGGTCACATTAGTGACTCAGGTGATTTAATCAAACTTCATTTAAAATTTTGTTAAAAATTTCATCAGCTGCTTGATTGAACACAGATTTGGCAGAAAGAAAAAAAATTATGCGGCTGCAATTTGAATGGGTCGATTGGGTTGGTTACAGGAAACAATGTTTTCATGGTCTTAAGAAGTCTATTTTAAAATATTAAACATCATTATTGAATATTCTCAACTCATCCCAGGTGGTCATTTTGGTGAGCCAGACTAAAAATCAGGTTGTGTTTGAGAGACAATATGTGCCTGGCAGCAAAATAAAAAAAACTATTTTTAGTATACAGGTAACAGTCACGGTCACAAGGTCATTGACCCTGGTGTCATTTGAAAGAATTTGATTAGTGGTATGCACACCAAATATGAAGTCTCTATCTCTTATGGTTCAATAGTTATGACAAAGGCATGAAAAAGCTATTTTTAGCATATAGGCCACAGTCAAGGTCACCAGGACATTGACTTGGTGTCATAATTTGAAAGAACGTTTCAGTGGAGTTTACAAACCAAATATGAAGTCTCTATCTTTCATGGTTCAAAAGTTATGGCAAAGGTTCAAGTTTGCAGACGTAAAAACTATTTTTAGCATATAGGTCACAGTCAAGGTCACAATGTCATTAATGTTGGTGTCATTTGAAAGAATTTGAACCTAATTAGTATGCATACCAAATATGAAGTACATGTATCAACCTTAAGTTTTATCTTTCTAAAGTTATGGCAAAGGTTAAAGTTTGCAGACAAACAAACAAACATACAGACAGGAAAAAAACAATATACGTCTCAGATCTATTGATTCGGGCACATAAAAATCACATGGGATGGAAATGGTGAGGTGACTAGCGTGAATTAAAAACTATTATATCTTTGTAAATCCAATGTGTAAAACACACTGCACACTAGCTGCTATCTCTTTTGAGGTCTGAATCTCCCTATTTTTCTATCTCAGTAAGCTAAAATGTATGCCACCTGAGAATGCTTTCACAAATATTATTACGACAATCATGGTTTTGCTTTTAAGATTTTCCTAATGTTTTCCTATGTTAAAATTTGACCCCCTATTATGGCTCCTCCTACACCCTGCCCTGGGGTCATGATTTAAACAAAATTGAATCTTCACTACCAGAGGATGATTCAACATGAGTGTCATCTTTCCTGTCAGACCAAGTGATTCTTGAGAAGAAGATTTTTAAAAGATGCCATTAATTTTTCACAAATTCATATTTATATGTATGAGGACATGGCCCTTCAAGGATACTCTGTGCCAAGTTTGGTTAAATTTGGCACACTCACGGTATAGTAAAATCTGAAGAAGTCTAGATGAAAATGCGAAAAGTTTACAATGACTCGGGTGAGCTAATAATTGAGGTCAAGATCATACGAAAGGACAAAAAATGTTGATGCAGTTGAACAACTATGATCAAATTATATCAATTGATATTGCACTGATCAATAGGTCTATAACAGAGATGTCAATTTTACTCAGACAGCTTACCGGTAGTCGAATAGTTGGAATGCTTTAGTCGTATGTGTTTCAAAGTATTTATTTTACACCAATTGTCACTTTAAACTGTTTAAAGGATCCGTTGTGGGATCCTAATCCCGATGTATTTTCATAATATTTAATTTTTATTACTAGTCATTAAAAAAAGCTTTTTAAATAATTATTTTATTTGTATAAATATACTCTATTTTTGCAGCTGTTGATTTTTGAAATTCTTTTCACCTTTTGATAAATATAACGTACTAGTTTTTGGAGGTTTATTTTGCTTTAAAAACAGCAAATTTGAAGTACTTTATAAGAAATCTACAACCACATTAAAGCTTATCAACATAAAATATATATTAAACAGTATTTCTTCTATAAGAATCAAGAAAAAAATCTGCAGGCAACTAAAGCATTTATATATGATAACTGACTTAAATCCATAATTTTCTGTCTTTTTTGCCTCAAGTTACCTCCCTTTGGTGTAGCTCTCTAACATAGGAGGAATAAACGGTAGTTTGCTTACATGTACATTGTTTTCAATAACAGTGTGCAGAAGACTAGAAGAAAATACAAACTTGGAACAGTCTGAGCCTCAGTTTTGGCGTTTTCATAAGTCTTAATTACGGTTAGTGACTGAATTTTTTTTACAATTTACCATTACAACAGTTTATGAAGAATGTATAACAAAAATTAACCATGCAGGAAAATATGCAACACTAATGGCAAGTGTTTTTTTTGCACATTTCAATTTAATTTTGATTGATTATATATGTTAGCATTACTTTATTTTTTTATAACAAAAAGAAAAGATTATGCATGTCCCGAGGAACCAAGAGGAGGGGCATTCCCCTCCCCTCCCCCCCCCCCCCCCCCCGATAATATTGCCCATATTAAACTATAATATAGGATAAAATGAAATTAAATTCCCAAACTTAGATTGTTTCTGAGGGCCGACCGTGAAAAAGTTGGTCATGATCAGTTACATAACTGTATCCCAAATTATAAAGTTTAATTTGAATTTAGTTTAATTTTGATTTGTTGTATTCACAGCATGTGTGTAACCAGCTGTAATGATTATAACTTGAGTGATAGTCGGGTTAAAAAAAAATCTATATATATTAATAGATATCTTTATTTACCACACACACATAATACCTGCTTTTTACATAAAAAATTATGAATTTATGAAATATTTGTAAAATGGAATGAATTTTGTTATGACGTCTTAAAAAAAGAATAAGGTTAAGTCAACTAGGTTCAAATAATAAGCATCATTAGAATTACAGCACATAAAATTTTGAAAAGAATTTCTATACTCTATTTTTTCAGGGGGGGGGGGGGTTATTGGAAAGAAACGAAAACCACAATTTAGAGTTTTGACAAAACCTAGAACCAATTGACCTTTTTATTACAAGTTTATAAATTCAAATAATATCTAAAATCAATACCGTCTCAACTTTGTGTTGTATACATCTGTTTTTAGAATGAAATTCGTCACTTTGAAGCCAAACTCGGAAAGAAGCAGAAACAGAATCGGATGAGCTGATATAGAATTAGACAAGAAAATCATGT